CCATCCTTCCTCACACCACAAAATACATAGAGATTATACCCCATATGCTGGGATTTAACCTGAAGCTACTCCAGGGCTGTGGCTGATGAGCGAGGGCTCCAGCTACCCCAGCCCTGCCTGACGGCCTCAAGAACTGAGGGTTTCAGTGCCAGCCCAGAGCCCTTTCAGTGTTGGCAAATTGGCTAGCTCTGCAGTGGAGGTTTCGCAGGCCCATGACCCTGACCTGTTCTTTTTATTTTCTTGAATAACCACTACATCCCTCAGCCCTAGAGACCTCATCCTGACCACAGAGGCCACAGAAAGCAGCACTGTCACATCCTTGATTTGTGTCTGTCCTGCCTTGAAAAATGCAAGAGAACTCCTGGTAGGTTTGGGCTTTTTTCACTAAATTCACCTTCAAAAACTAGGGAAGAAGAAGGAAATAGCGTTTTTATAATCCACTGATTTCACAAATGTGCAGTCCAACTGTGAGCAAGGAAAGCTTGAATTTCAGACTCTTTTTGCTTAGGGTGAAATGTTTGGTGACCTGGAAGTCTTCACAATGATCATTTTGGAGGGAGGGGTAGGAGCTCTAGGTCACCTGAGTTCAGATGAGCTGTGCTAAGATGAGGATATTTATATAAAATGGATTGGCTGTCCCTAGGCATATAATGACCAAAATTTAGGGGACACTTTTAAATCCTATGTGGGGTTCCAATTTCTTGACATGGGTTAGCTCAGAACAGCATTATGAAGTAGATGTTTCTGTTTTTAGCTCTTACAGATTAACGAAGGCATTATTAGGTTCTAGAACCTGCCTAAAGTTTGTACAAGTAGTAGGCACTTCAATTCCAACCAGATTTTTTTAAAAAAAAATTTTAATTGTAGATGGACACGATACCTTTATTTTGTTTATTTAGTTTTTTTTTTTTTATGTGGTGTTGGGGATCGAACTCAGGGCTTCACCCATGCTAGGCAAGCAATCACTCTACCACTGAGTCATGTCCCAGCCCCCAACCAAATTTTTATTACACAAAATATGGTAAAATGAGTGAGGAAGTATTCCAAATAACAGTGAGCAGACAGCTGGGCTTGTAAAGGACTGTATGTTAGATGTCACATCCGAACATCAGAGAATAGTAGGAAGATAATTTGGAGTCATCATTTGTAGCAGATCCTGGGTAGCAGAGTCTAAATACATAAATGAATGAAAAGAAAGAGCCGCTTAATTCTCCAGGTCAAGGTTATGCAAACTGCTCCTCTAACCCCAAATGTTTCTGAATATTTGTGCAGTGTTGGGCAAAAGGGGTTAGTTAAAGGCCAATTAGTTAGATTCTAGATTCTCCACCCATATCTCACTTTAAGCAGATAATTTTTACATTCATCTGTATTATAGTTTAATATAATGCTTATTTTGAAGAAAGGGTTCTATTGCTTAAATATAAAAAATAATCTACTGTTTTAAACAATGAAAAGCCATTTGAGAGAGAAATAACATGGGCAAGGGTGAGCTGTGGTAAGATGAAGGTATTCCTGTAAGATGGATTGGAGTGGAATGTAAGCAAAGGTAGAGCAATCGGAAAGATGACTTTGATACTGATAAGATAAAGCTTTCATAATTCTGTATTTTTAATTGTTCGTTTTATCAACAAAGACTGAGACATTTTGAAGTGTTACTTCCGAAAAGCAACTGTAGTTTTGTGAATTTGATAATGCAACATTATTGCTTCCTTATGATTTTCTTTCTATAAATAAATGGGCCTCCTCCTTGGTTCTTCAAACGGGATCCTGGTTTAAGTGAAATTCTCTTTGAATGCAAAATTAGGTCATTTTAGCTTTGCAATAGGTTCCAGTTTTCTGATTCAGATGAAAGTAAAAAGGGGAATTCGTTCTCGATGTAGGAATTATGTGAGTCACTCAGGCTTTCAAAGCTTTAAGTTCCCAGGGGATGAGAGTGAGACTGGCCGCCTAGCTCTGTCTAGTGGCCACCTGTTCTGCTCCATGTCAGCTCAGCTCCTAACTCTGACACTCTGCAGCTTCCTCCCAGTGGAGTCTGTATGGTCTTCTGTGCAGGACTGGCCAAGGGAGAAGGAAAAGTGGCAGTGCCCGAAGAAAGAAGAGTCCTCCCATGTTTCGGGGAAGGAGTGAATCTGAGGTCAAACTAGCATGTGTCTGATTCTATGCTTGAGGATAACACACCACAAACACACCCAGTAACAATACCTGTCACTTCTCCTACCAGTTGCTCCAACAGTTTCCATCACCTCTGGCTGTCCAGGGTTAGCATAAAATGCCACCTGCATCACCCAAAACCCTTTTTGTATCCTAGGGACCTCATCTATAGAACCTATTATTTCAAAGGAAAGACTGCCTAACTTGGAATATAGAAAACATCTCTCATCACCACATTCCCTTTTGTGACAATCTTTATTTCATCCTAGGTACTATTATAGGTACTGAAGTTTCAGAATTAGCAAAACAACAGTCTCTATCCACCCAACAGCACATTCTGGTGCAGAGAAATGGACAATATAAATGAGTAAAATCATAGTGTATTAGAAAAATCATAATTGCTATCAAAATAATGCAGGAAAATGGAATTGTCCAAGGTACTGCAAATGTAAATAGAGTGTTCAGGGAAGGCTGTGGACACATGGGCTGAAGAAATAGCAAAAACAAAAGGGAGGAGAAGGCTTCAGTGTTCGGGGGACGGCAGAGGGCCAGAGAAGCTGAAGTATAGAGAACTGGGGATAGAGGCAGAAAGGTCATGGGAGATTTAGGGGAACAAATCTGGAAGAACCTACAAGGCCCTTTACAGACCCTCACTCTTCGTGAATTGGGAACATGCCACCAGAGGGCACTGGCAAAGGGAACGCGTTTGCCATGATGACTTCCTGGATGGTTGACTATGGTTGCTGGAGCAGCTTTGCTGAGAATAGGAAAGGGGGGAAAAGAGAGGAACCAGGGAGATCAGCCATGCAGCAATCATGATGATCCAAATAGAACTGTCTTCAGGAGAGATGGTGAGAGGTGAATGGGCGCTGGTGGGGCTTGGCCATAAGACAAGGATGATGTCTCTGGTGCTTGTAGCTGGAGCGGCGGGGAGGATGGAGTGGCCATTAGCTGAGGTGGGGAAGCTGCAGGGGAGCAGGTTTGGGAGGAAAGAATAGAGAAACTATCAATATCTTTTGCTGCTTGTCCTTTGTATCACCATGAAAAAAGTGAAAAAACCCCATAAAACACATTTATGAAGAATATGTGTATATATGCATATACATATATATGTATACACACACACACACACATAATATGTACCTATATACATTTGATTGATGATTAGGTCAACATTATAAATAATATAGGGGCTACAGGTGTAGCTCAGTGGTAGAGTGCTTGCCTAGAATGTACAAGCTCCTGGGTTTGATCCCCAGCACCACAATAGATAGATAGATAGATAGATAGATAGACAGACGTTATTATAGAGACAGGCAGGTCATCAGATTATTTGGGAGGAAATCTCTTATTCACCATTATGACTTCAGAACCTAAGATGAGTACTCAGTGGATATTCACTATATTCCATCAAGTTTCTCACCAAGGAGACTCACATCTACATAAGTTCGTTCTTAAATCACTCTTACTTTTATGGGTATTTACAAATTGTAGGATTGTATTTATCCCAGCCAAAAACTTCGTTCCATCCAAATGATTATGTTTTATTCATCTAAAAAAGCAACCACAGACTCAGCCCAAACAGACTTGTTGCCTCCCATCAAGCTAATCATTAAACACAGTCAATCCTTCCCCTCCTAACCAGCCGACATACTGTGAAAATAAACTGGCTACCCTGGGAAATAAGGAGGGTGGCACTGTGCACGCTTGAAGGGGAGGGAGTGGACTCCCTGTGTCCCTGTGGGCAGGGGTTAGTGTCCTTGTCCTTTCCTGATGTGCCACAGCTTCATGGGTCTGACCATGTCCTTTTTTTTTTTTTCTGTAAAAGAAAACCAAAAGTGTTCATTTTCAAGATTACTTTTTAAAAACTGCCTATGAACATCTTCAACTATCTGTTCTTTGTGAACAAAAAGTCATATAATACCATTTATACAAAGAACTTGTAGATGTTTCTGATTAATCTCATTTTCTCTCTAAAACACACACCTGATGTCTGCCGCATAGGAAAAAAAAAATGCATTTTAGATCTCTTCTTCATACTGCTGCTGCTTAAAAAATGAAAAGAAACCTTACTTTATTCCATAGATCATCCAACAAGAGGAAGTATGATTTTGCCAATTCTCAAAAAAACTTCAAGGGAATAATGACAACAGCTAGAAAGAACACTTTCTAAAGCACCTCTGGGTCCATTATCAAGAGAAGTTTTTTAACCACTGTCTTGTGTAGATGGAAAATCAAAAGCTTGAATTTAATTCGGAATGAAAAGTTTAGGGAGCAGTATTTTGTGGTATTATGTTTTATTTAGTAGTTTGCCTGACATATGGACAGTTTCTTGTGTCTTTTTTTAGTGCATTATAGGTATACTATGATGGTGGAGTTCATTATCACTAAATCATAAATGCATGTAGCCTAGCTTGCTCATCCTCAATCCAGAGTTCTCCTTTTTTTCCTCTCTTTTCTCCTCCAAACTCCTTCCTCTGAATTTTTCTCAATCTTGGAAATCATAAATACTAGGATTTTTTTTTTCAGTTCTCGTCTGTTTTTATTTATTTTGTTGTTTTTGAGGGGTTTGTTTTGTTTTCCTCTCTGCTTATGATATTGAAGTAGAATAACAACAACAACAAAAACAAAATAGGTTTTAGAGCCAGATATTTGGATTCTATTTCTTCCACTTAATTGTGTGTGCGTGTGTGTGTGTGTGTGTGTGCATGTGCGCACGCGCAAGTGTGCATGTGTTCAAGAGACACAGACAGCAAAAAGAAACTGTAGATAAGCTATCTAAATTCTTCATGTCTTGGTCTGATTGAATTGGAGTAAATCACATTATGTGTACATGTGTATATATGAATATGTCACAATGAACCCCACTACCACGTATAGTTTTAACACATTAATTAAAACATAAAGAGGTGAGGATAATAATAATTATGTCCTAGAGTCTTTGTTAAGATCAGCTAGGTTAGCTTGTGGAAATCCTGATGCATAATAAGCTGTCTCCTCCTGACCCCTGAATGTTAGAAGACCTGGGGGATTAGTTCTGAGCCCTTGTATCTGCTCACATTCTCTCTAAGTGGGCACGCCCATTATTGTGGCTTTAAGTCTTATTCATCTATCCTCCGTTTTCACCTCTAATCTATATCTTTGGTCCACTTAGCATACATGTTTCAGAGCATCTCAAAATTTGCATGTATAAATTTGAATTTTCATCTTTCCCTTATTCCCCAAGGCTTTCCTTCCTCTGCTCTTCTCTATTTCAGTGATAGACACCACCATCTCTCCCGTTAAGACAGAAACCTGGAAATTATCTGTGATGTGTCTTTCCCATCTTCCTGAAATATAACTCTGAAATTTGTCTTTCTCCATATCCAGCGTGTATCTCCAATCTCCCTCTCTCTCAAATATATCTCCTCCCCCCAACCTCTCCTCCCTTTCCTTATCATTTCTACCCTGCATGGCAGCCATGCCGATCCTTGGGAGATGTAAACCAGATGTCACCCCCTTACTTAAAATTCCTCAGTGAAGTCTTGTTGCACTTGGAATCTAAACTTCATAACCTTTAGAATCTTCCCATCAGAGATTCCTTGTGATCATAAACTACCCACTGACATTCCATGTTCACTGACTTCATATTCAGGATTCCCAAGACCACTCTCAGGTTCAACGATTCACCAGAAGGACTTAAAAAACTCAGAAAACCTGCTATAGTTATGGCTTATTGTGACAAAAAGGATGCAGATTAAAATCAACAATGGAAAAAGACACATAGTTCAGAGTCCAGGAAAAACCAACCATGAGGGACCAAGTGCTCTCTCCTGGGAGATTCCTGTGAATAGCCCTTAATTCGTCTAATGATGATGTGGGTGACAACACTTAGAGATTGCCAACCAGGAAGTTCACTCAAGACTCGGTGTCCAAGGTTTGTATTGGGGATCAGTCACATAGACATGGAGTACGCATGCAGCTGACCTTACTATAGTCTGTAACCTCTTCAGAGTCAAGGTGACACCACATGGCCCAGAGCCCCTACCAAAAATCACATAGCTAGCAGAAACACTCTGGTGTGGACCATGGTCCCAGTAGACAAAACCACTGTTTTGAGGCAGGGAATTCCAAATTACATGTTATTTCTTAGGAACTGGTCAAAGTCTAGAGTGTTCTTCGGAATGTACAAGCATTGGACAACATAGGCCTGCTGAGTTAATCCTTTATTGCACATTGATCATTTGGAAGTTTCTAGAGCAGGCCAAGCCTTGTCCCTCCTTGGGCCTTTGTCCCTGGTCTCCCCCTCATTTCTCTGGTCTTATTTTAAGACCAGAGAGACCTTTCCTGACTGCATGATGCAAGTAGGTCCATTCCCTTTATTATTCTCCATCACAGAACCCTGGACCAATATTTTTAAATACTTATCTCAAGTCATTATTGTGTTTTTTTGTTCTTAGTCACTTATTCATCTGTCTCCCCAACTTGAAGATGCACACAGACAGGTACCATGTTTGTCTTGTGCCACAGACATTATCTGAGATGTAGTTGGTACTCAAAGGACATTTTTAAAAATTTGTTCTTTTTAGTTATACATGACAGTAGAATATATTTTGACATATCTACATACACGGAGTATAACTTCCCATTCTTTCGGTTGTACGTGATGTGTATTTACACTGGTCATGTATTCATACACGGACATAGGAAAGCTATGTCCAATTCATTTACTGTCTTTCCCATTCCCATCCCACTGCTCCTTCCCCCCATACCCCACCCTGTCCAATCCAGTGAACCTCCACTCCTCCCCCTACCCCTACCTATTGTGAGTCAGTATCCACATATCATAGAAAACTGGCTTATTTCACTTAGCATGATAGTCTCCACTTCCACCCATTTACCAACAAATGCCATAATTTCATTCTTCTTTATGACTGAGTGATATTCATTGTGTATATGTACACATTTTATTGATTCATTCATCTGTTGAAGGGCACCTAGGTTGGTTCCATAGCTCAAAAGACATTTTTAAATGATGGGAGCTGAGATTTTATTGTCTGTTTCCTTAGGTTTTATTTGTAATCTTAATGAATTATTTAGAAATCATTCTAGTTTGACAATTGAAGAGGAGGATAATCTGTTGGCTACACCTGTAACCTCTTGGGTTGATTAAACTCATCTGGCTGGTGAGGCAATTTCCAATTTTTTTCCAGCCCTCCAGGTGTGCCTTTGTGAAGCTGTTCACTTTATGAAGTAATTACAGAAGTAGGTAGAAAGGCGTTTGTTCCTTATAGCTCCTTACCAGAACTACCACCACAGATCAAGATCCTTTATAGATTGTGTTTCTATTTTTGTCATAAATTGCACGTATGTGACATTTGCATTTTAGCTGACCAGTGCTATTCAGTGAACTTGGTAGAATTAATGTATCATAGCTCAGGAAAACTTTGAAGTATGTATAACATACTTTGTATAACATGTTTTGAATTTAAATAATATATTTGACTGATAAGGGTTCTAAAAATACCTAAATAAAATACATATCTTTCTCTATTTAAAGAAGTCTGACAGAGAGGAAAGACATAAATACATCCAAAAGATTGATTCATAATGATGTGTGTATTTTGGAAATGCTACTATAATAAACAGAAAGTTCTCTCAGTTTTGAGGTTTTTTGGGAAAAAAAAAGTCTAATTGCCCATGGCAATTTTCAGAAAATTTATTCTTTCATAGTAATGAAATCATATGATGTGCATTTCATTCAGATTTTGTACAAGAATTTGAGAGAATGGAGTGCTTTTAAATAAGGCACAGTTGTAAAAGCCTTCTGTGATTTCACATTTTCTATTTTAGTACAAAACTCTTGTCTTGTCATTCAAGGTCCTAGAGAGTTTGGAAGCAGCTTATGTCACAGCTTTGTCTTCTAGTCTCTGTAATGACTCCATGCTGGCCTCATCATACTGCCATCAAATAGTGTCTCTTGTAATTGAAGACTCCATGGTTGAGAATGATGCCCTAAATATGTGAACAGACACAAGGGTACCTTAGTGCTGATAAGCATCCTACAGGGAGCACTGTGCATGAGGGGAGCTGGGCTCTGGTCTTAGTCCCTCCTGATTCACTGGATCACTTGACTACAACTATCTGAGCCTCGGTTTCCTCACTCATAAGAACATTGAACAGGATGATCTCTAAATTGCTTCCAGCTCTAAAAGCCTGGGTTCTGTCTTCCTTGAGTTGACTGTCTAGAGGACTCCATGCATTAGTAAGAGATCAGATTGCATTCAGGCACCCAAGAGGACAGTTCAGGCTGATCCAAGGTGAGTAACCAGTGAACTGCTTCCAGTGCCCGGTGACTGTTTTTAGTGATAAATCCGTTTGAGCTTCTCATTAGTCTAGTGGTACCTTCAATGCTTAATTACTACAGCAAGCATCTCTGCCCTTGGTAAAACTGAGATTTGGAATAAATTCATTCTAATAGAAAATTTGGGGGATATTTTGAGAACCACAATTTACTGTAGAATATATAAGCTTTGCATAGACTTGCCAGTTTCCTATGAAGAGGTCTTAATGTCCAAGATGCTGGGCTATTCCTCTCTTGCCCACAATCCCCTCTTTTTCAGAGCCTCTCTGCCATTCTCCCAATTAGTATCTTCATTCTCTTTCACCTGGACAATTTCCATAGACTTCTCTGCCCGCCTTCTCTTCCTATGCAAGGTAGTCCTACACAATACTGTTAGATTAATCCTTGTCAAACAGAAGCATCTATGAAATAAATACAAATTCTCCAGCTTTCTATTCAGGACCATAAACAATGTTGATCCCACCTTCCTTGAAGTATATCTTCCACCAATTATCCACAGCAAAATCGGATTAGCCTTTGGCTCTAATCACATCCAGCCTCATCTACTTCTGTCCATATACTACTCCCATTGGTTTTTAAAGGCCTACAAGTCCTGAAAGGTTACCTCTCCCAAAATGTGTTAGCTGTCCCCCAAAGTCCTGAAAGCCTACAAGTCCTGAAAGGTTACCTCTCCCGAGATGTGTTAGCTGTCCCCCAAAGCCTTAATTAATTCCAACTCCAAATTGACGTGTTCTCTTTTTTCTTTAAGTTATTCTATTATTCTAAGTGTCTTTCCAACTGGACTTAACATTCTGTCTTCTCTTCTTTTATTCCTAAAATAATATAGCTGTGGCATTCCAGAGCTGAATGGAACCTTAATGCACATTCTTCTTTGGAAGATGTTTTATGCATCCTTTAGAATACTAAACAGGGCTGGAATTGGTTTTTCTTCTACCCCGTGGCTTTCATGGGAGATGAACATGCACATTTCATTTTTGTTGGACAAAAGTGGATGAAGTCATTCTAACACAGGACAGTGAGTATAGATATATATATATATAGAAAAATCACAAAATATACCCTCTTCTTATGTTAATACTGTTGCAGATTGCTACCATGTTGAGTATGACAGACAGCAGAATATTTTCTTCTTTCATTAATTTACTCATCCGGCATTTATTGAGAACAGCTACTCTGCCTTAGGCATTGTGTTAGATTTTTATTGCCCTGGAGTGCACACAAATGAGCAAGCTGTTTGTTAAGAGACTGTGATTGGGCCAAAGTGAAAAAGAGCCCCACTCTAAACACTAGGATAAGGAAAATTCCTTCACAGCCTAAGTATATGAAGGGGGTGTGGTGGAGTGCTAGCCTTAATGGCTCCATCTTGTGCCATCTTGCGTTTCCAGTTTCTTTTTCAATGTGGCTTTGTTATTCCTCCTTTCAAAAGGTGTAGTGTATCTCACTCCCCCTTGATTCTTATTTCACCTCTTTGACTTACCTTGGCTGGTATGTTAGTGTGTGTCAGGGGCAAAGAATTGAAAATGCACTTACCTGTCTGTGTGTCATCTCTTACTTCATTGCCATGATCACAAGAGCACATCTATGCTAGACTGCTAAGGATAAGGCAGTGCTGAAACCCCTGTGTCTTTTGAGTTGCAGCTGTCCTGGGTCAGGCAAGAATCAGCTGACACCTGGATATGAGAGCAAGCCCAGCCCTGCCTAGCAAAGCCCAGGCCAGATCAGTCTCTGCAGACTCATGAGCTAAATAAATGGATATTACTTTTCACTGAGGTTGAATGGTTATTTGCTGTACAACATTATTGTGGCAATAGATAACTGATACACTGAAAGAAAAGATAAATCGTCTATCTTGTATGTTCCTTAGCAAGGAAGTAACGAGTATTTCATATATAGTTGTTTCCTACAGGGCTAGCTGTATAAGGGTGGCTAGATCCAATATTTATTAAATAATCTAAGGTATTCTAGAAAGTTTATTTTGCTACAAAATTATTGTTTTAATTGAGTTAAATGAATTAGAAAAGTACTAAGAGCAGTTTGGGGTCCTATGGAATTTCTCTGTTTAGACTCATAAAAAAAGATAATACTCAGCTAACTCATTTCCCTCAAACTTATTAGCATAGACATTTCCACCACAGTTGCAGCAAATTAACATGGGCTGCTTCTCTACACTGGTGATTATCAACATGGTAACACATCCTGAATTATGAATGGCTTTAATAAAATTTGACAAGGGCACATTGCTTTTTGAGAGACAACTCTAGGGGCATCAGGAGGCTCTGGATCACTGTGATAAATTAAGAGCATTGTACTTTTTGTCATAATTGCTCCTATTACCGTGCACTAATAGAATCTATAGTGAAACATCAATTGGTGAAGTCTTTCCCTTTTTTGTTGTTGTTTTTGGTACCAGAGGTTGTACCCAAAGGTTCTTAACCACTGAGCCATATCCTCATTCCTTTTTTAATTTTTACTTTTTATTTTGAGACAGGGTCTCACCAAGTTACTTGGGACCTCACTAAGATACTGAGGCTGGTTTTGAACTTGGAATTCTCCTGTCTCACCCTCCACAGTTG